GAGGCGGGAAGATTGCAAGTTCAAAGCCAGCCTCAGCAATTTAGTGAGGCCCTAAGCAACTTAGCAAGACCCTGTCTCAAGATAAATTTAAAAAGTCTGGGAATGTGGCTCAGTGGTTAAACACCTGAGTTCAATAGCTGGTACTCTGACTACTCCCATCTCTCCAGGACCTGACCCTGCTACATGCTGTCACAGCATCCTAAACTTTTCTTTCATGGCATTTATCACAGTTTGGAACCACAACTGTTTCTATAAGTATTGAAAATCTGTGTTAGCTATTAGACTATCAGTCACCATAAAGGCAGAGCCTCTATCTATTCTGGTCATCTCTGTATCTCTGACATCTGAAATAAAGTAGGAAGGCAATTTAGAAGATTAAATCATTTCTCGCTGTTACAGGTATTTTTATATTTTAGTGTAAACATACAACAGGAGATTTTCAACACTGTGTTCAACAGGTTTGGAACCCACAATCAAGAGAGACTACCTTGAGCTACGTCTCAAAGGATACACTAGAAAATGACTAATGGTGGTTTTCTCTGGTGAAGGAAACCAAGTAACCAGGAGACTAGAAAAGTGAAAAAGACTTTGTTGTACATCCTTTTATGATCCTGAGATTAAGTAGAATTATTTTTTTTCAGTATTATTATTTTTTTAAATGCAGACTTCTAGTACCTAAAAGCACTATCCCTAATATTCCACTTCCTAAATCTTCTGAGAAATTCTTGAATTCCTAGAAGGCACATTTGAAATTATATTATCTGAAAATTTAGGAGCAGGATGTACAAATGCCCAGGATTTATTACTTAACAATACATGTGATGAATACCTATTTTGATGTAAATGCAAAAGTACTCTCATTAGCTAATAATTCATTACACACTTTGAGTCCAATGATATATCACAGATGAAAGCAAAAACAAAGTTTGATCTATTTTTCTTTCTGGAGCATTACCTCGATAAATTCAAGCATTAATAAGGACTGTTTACAGGCTGGGGTTGCAGCTCAGTGGTAGAGCACTTGCCACACACATGTGAGGCCCTGGGTTCGATACTCAGCACCACATAAAAATAAATAAAATAAAGGTATTGTGTCCAACTACAAATAAAACATAAATATTTTTAAAAAATTTAAAAATAAGGTCTGTATCATCACAGAAAATTATATTCCTTAATTCCAAAAGGACTATCAAAACTGGTACCAACTGGGCATGGTGGTGCACACCTGTGACTGGGGAGGCTGAAGCAGGAGGATCACAAGTTCAAGGCCAGCCTCAGCAATTTAGCAAGGCCTGAAGGAACTCAGCAAGACCCGGTTTCAAGATAAAAAAAATAGAAGGGGCTGGGAATGTGGCTCAGTGGTTAAGCCCCCTTGGGTTCAATCCCTGGTGTAATAAAAAAAAAAAAAAAAAATTGATACTGAAAAAAATGGAGAGCCATGAACAATACTACATTAAGGGGGAAAAAAAAACACTTAACTATTATATGAACAGCACTGTCAGGCTTTTGTATTATTCCATTTAATTTTCACAAAACCCTGCAAGACTGAGGAAGTAAGTTTGAAAGGCAATATACAATTATTCAGCAGTAAAACTGAATGAACCTAGGTCTATCCCACTGCAAAGGTCATTGTTGCTCTACACACCACCTGCCTTTCCTAGCTAAACAGATGTATACTTAATACAAGCTAACCAGGCAAAAATGTATCTGAATATATGAGCATCTTTTTTTTAACTCGGCTATCTGCCTTATGAAATCAAATTGATATGGAAGATTTTCAGCAACATTCAAAATATGAATATCATCTTGCTTTATTCACCTGCCTTATTTGTTCACTATTAAAAAGAAATTTAAGTTTCTCCAAAATTTATCAGTTTCAAAAAATAAAGTGCCAAAATAAAAATTTAAATTAGACATTTATCAATAATGATATCAGTGGGTAGACCACTTAAAATACTTTTCACATATTGGCACATGCCTATAATTCTCAGAAGGCTAAGGGAGGAGGATCTGGAGTTTGAGCCCAGACTAGGCAACAGAGCAAGACCCCCATCTCAAAAAGAAACAAAAACAAGAAAAGAAAAAAAAAAAGGAAACCAAGACAATTTTTCCTTGTAGCAAGAAGATATTGCTGCAGAATAATGAGAGCAAATTACAGTTAAAAAACTGTCGCTGGGCATGGTGGCACACACCATGCAGTTCAGGAGGCTGAGGCAGGGGAATTGCAAGTTCCAAACCAGCCTCAACAACTCAGCAAGGCCCTAGGCAACTCAGTGAGACCATGTCTCTAAATAAAATACAAGAAAGGGCTGGAGATATGTGGCTCAGTGGATAAGCGCCCCCTGGATTCAATTCCCAGTACCAAAAAAAAAAAAAAAAAAAATTATACTAAATATGAACAAAGTATGAAAGAGAAAACAGAAATAGTAACAGTTATTATGTTTTACTTTTAAAAATTTCCTTTAAAAATACCTTCAGGGCTGGAGTTGTGGCTCAGTGGCTCAGCGGCAGAGCACTCGCTTAGCACATGCAAGGCCCTGAGTTCCATCCTCAGCACCACATAAAAATAAATAAATAAAATAAAGGTATTGTGTCCAACTACAACTAGAAAATAGATATTTTTAAAAATAAGTAAAAAATAAAAATAAAAAATACCTTCAAATATGATAACATTTAGGGGGGTGGGGTTTAAGGATTGAACCAGGGGCACTTTACCACCACATCCCCAGTCTTCTATTTTTCTATTTTTGAGACAAGGCCTTGCTAAATTGCTAAACGTCTCACTAAGTTGCTGAGGCTGGCCTTGAACTTGCAATCCTCCTGCCTCAGCCTCCCAAGTGGTTAGAATTATAGGCATGCATAAACCATCCCCAGCCCATGACTTTTAAAAATACCTCTATTGGAATATATGAATACTCAAAACTCTTCTCTCTTTCTTTCTCTCTCCCTCTTTTTCTTTCTTTCTTTGGTACTGGAGATTGCACTCAGGGACACTCAACCTCATCCCCAGCCTATTTTGTATTTTACTCAAAGACAGGGTCCCACTGAGTTGCTTAGCACCTCGCTTTTACTGAGGCTGGCTTTGAATTTTCGATCCTCTTGCCTCAGCCTCCTGAGCTGCTGGGATTACAGGCTTCTGCTACTGCGCCCAAACTATTCTTTGCTAGAGAATAAATGTTCCTTTGACTAGCAAAGAAAACTGTTTTCTTTTGAACTATGAAAAAATCCTACTTGTAAAGACCTTTTACAAAGACAAGAAGAAAGGTATCTGTGGAACTTCAGTGTGTTTTCTGCTACAAAAACTGAATGGTTCAAAGAGTAAAAATCTTTTGCAATGGTTGATCATGTCTCAGGAATAAGCTGGATATTCAATGTTTGGGGGAAGCTTTTAGTCTAAATTAACAATCAGTAAAGTATTTTCTTTGTTTACTGTATCCCTGCTGTTTTTGCTATCCTCCTGCCTCAGCCTACCAATCTGCTGGAATTATAGGCATGAGCCACTGCATCTGGCTCCTGTTCTGATTTTAAAACTCCAGATTTTGTTTAAAAAAGAAAAAAGCTCTACTTTTCTATAATCTTGCCAAAACAGGTGTCAACAGGGGGTGAAATTATTTTTATGTATAAATTTTAAAAATAGCTAAAATAAATTGACCACTAATTGATTTTAATTTTAATTTTTTTAATCAAAATAATATTGTTTTAACAACTTAACAACCAATAAGTATTTACAACTCATAATAGAAAATAATCAAAGATACGATGTCAGAGCTGGCTATATAACCCATTCACCTAGCATGTAAGAGGCTCTGGGTTCAATCCTTCACACCACAAAAAAAATCTAAAGAATAAAAATACTTCAATTTAACAAGAAATGTAGTCTTTATTCCCACCTCAAATTTTAGGTCAAAATCTCAAATATTTTCTACTAATTTACCTTAGAATAACATTAAAATAAAGAAACATCAGTTTTTTTGATTACTTATTATTAAAATTCAGAACTGTAAATACAAATTAAACTGTAAAAAACAAGCATGTTCAACACTCAGAAGAATGGTTCATCTGGTCTCAGCATCCATTTTATAAGAGAAAAAACATGATTTTTTTAAAAATATTTTTTTAGTTGCAGATGGACACAATATCTTTATTTACTTATTTTTACGTAGTGCTTAGGATAGAACCCAGTGCCTCACGTGTGTGACACAGGCACTCTACCACTGAGCTACAGCCCCAGTCCAGAAAAATACGACTTTAATGGCCCATCTACTAATGAATCCTCTTTCATATTTTTGCAGACATTCTGTTATAGCCTCTGATTAAAACTACTTAAACGCTCCAAAATGTTTTTACTATTCCAAAAAGTATATTCTATGTTTTAACTTCTAATTTATACCTTCCCAAAATGAAATTTATAAACAAATAATCTGCATGAACAAAAGTACAACGTCATATGACTTTAACACCAATGAATGGGCAGCTCAAATCATGTTCACTATTGGGGTTGGGGCTGTAGTTCAGTGGCAGAGCGCTTGCCTAGTACGTGTGGGGCACTGGGTTTGATCCTCCGCACCACATAAAAATAAACAAATAAAAGCATTTTGTCTGTTTACAATTAGAAAAAAAACAAACATGTTCACTATCATTTCTCTTATTTTGTCAGTTTCTCACTACAAAAATACCTTTAAAGATAAATATTTGTATTCTCCCAAGTTTATGACATTTTTTAAATGAATCAACCAAACTATCAGTTAATATTAGTATTCCCAATTCCCATTTGTTCAACAAATATGTATTTGCATAATCATAATCATTGTTAGTTACCACGGTAACCATAATCCTCACCTACCACTTTTAATTTCTCAGAAGAGGGTAAAAACAAAGCTACAGAAATTTCTGAAATGTTTTAAAACTCCTAGAAGTTTCTATCCAAACTGAAGTTAACAAATGGTTGAAAAAAGATTTCACTACAGCAACCCTAGAGAAAGATGAAGGAATGAACTTACGTTTCAAAACAACGATCCACGTTGTCTGACATCAAAAGCAGCATGCATAGCTGTTCAAGAGCTATTAGTTGCATGTCCCTTTCATCTCCTTGTCCCATCTGTAGCCATTCCAGCAATGTATCCGGATCCACATCTGCCATGTTTTTTTAAAAGCCTCTTTGCTTAAATTAAAAAAAAAAAAAAAAGTGGGGGGTTCACTTAAAGTCCAGGACTCATCAGATTAGTTTTTTTTTTCTTTTATATCTAACTAAATCAAATTTTCCTGGTGTTCACCAAGGAATTAAAAACCCCTACATAAGTTTAGATATAGTGCTCACTGCAGTTTTCAACTTTCCCTTATTCCTCGGGTTTACATATTCAGATATACTAAACAAAAACCAGTTTTGCACAAAAGTATAAGCTGATTAGGTAGCTGCTTAACTAGAAACCAGAGCTGACCCTGTCAAAGTCAATCAAACATCACTTATGTATGTTCCAAAAGGCAGAGAATACCTCCAAAAGTTTTTGTTTGTTTTTTTTTTTTCCCCAGCAAACTTCTTTCCCCATTTTCCACCCAAATCTAAGCTTCAGGTAAGGATCAGGTGCAGTACTTTTAAAGGAGTTTCTAAGCATTTTGATCCAATGCCCTCTCAAAACGGAGTTACTCCTTTAAAATTACCTCCAATTTCACAAATTCTGCTAATTTCTCATTTTAATTATTCCTGTTTTAAATCAACCTATGAATAAAAAACTGGTTAGGAATTTTCGACTTGGCAACTGTTCCTGAAAAGTTCAAAAAGAAATCTTAAAAGTAAATGCAAGGAATTAACAGGTTACGAATCAGAATATAGGCCAATCTGCGGCCCTCTTTCTTCATCCCCACAAGATAGGGCAATTGGTTTAAAAAAAAAAAAAAAAATCGAGAAACAACCCCAACAGGCAAGCCATGACAAAAGCTCTTCGTAAGCGCCCTGATCAGACGACAGCTTTGGGTCCCACGTAATCTGGCTGCGGCTGGGGGAACCAGGAACCAAGTGGCGAGTCGCGGTGGACACCCAACGGCGGCGACCAGCAGGGCTGACCCAATATCCCTGGCCAGGACGAACCTGACGCCGAGAGGCGTAGGCACTAAACCCCGCTAAGTTAGCTACCTGTGTCTAGGAGGGGAAGTTCTGGAGAAGAAGCAAGCCTGCGTGCTCAGGGGTAGAGCGCCGAGCCCCGCAGGGCAGCGGGTCTCCAGAGAGCGGCGCCCGGAACTCCCGGCGGCTCGACAGGACGTCCCTAGTCCCCGCCGAGTGGCGGACCCTTCTCAAGGGCAAGAGGAGCTCGCCATGGGCTCCGGAGTGGGCCAGGCGGGCCCCGCCGCCCGCATGGTCAGGGGAGGGGAACAAAGGGGCCAAGCCGGAGAGTAGGCAGCAGCCCGGCCGACCTCACCCGGCGCCGGGGTCCCGTTCCTCGCCCGCCGCTGGGCGTCCGGGATTCCGGCCCCAGGCCCGACCAGGACCTCCCGACAGCCGGAAGCGCTCCCGCCTACCCTTCCCGCATACTCTTACCCTAGCTGGTCCTCCCAAACCGCTCCGGTCCAGCTCCAAGCAGGCCGCGGGCAGAGCCAGGCCCGGCCGCGGCCCTCGAGTTCCCAGGAAGCCGCAGGCCGCGCAGGTCGAGCCGGGCAGGCGGCACAGGAAAAGCCGCGTCTCGTCCCTCCCCTTCCTCCGCGGGGACCTGGTGACAGGGAGGGGAGAGGTTTCTCTGAGCGACAGCAGCCAGAGCAGGTCCCGTCTCCGGCACGCGGCTCCTCAGGCTCTGCGATTCAGAGGGAGGCCCGCGCAGTGCTGCCGGCGGCCGTGGCGGGGGAAGGCCGCGTCCATCGCGATCCGGGAGGGGGAAGGGAGGAGGGTCGAGCGAGTGCCGGGCGGGGAAGCTGCTGAGGGCAGGCGAGCCCGGCGGAGGCGGAGCGAATCTGCCCAGCCGGCGGCTACCCCACGAGCGGCCACCTGGGGCGCTGCAGAGGCGCCAATGGGAGCGCCGGACGGCCGGACGCTCTCACCCCGCGGCCTCGGGCTGTCTACTATGGCTCTCCTATGGTCCGCCCTGGCACCCTTCTCGCTTCGCTGTCAATGTGAGCACGCCCCAGCACCCCGCGCACACTCGTGCACGCACGTTCGCCTTGCTTTGCACTGTGTCTAGCACTTCGCGTGCTCCTGCCGTAGGCCCCAGCGTAGTACGGCAGGGCTGTGGCTCAACCCGTCCCCGCCACGGCTTCCGCTCAGGCGACCCGCACCCGGCCAAGAGCATCCCTGGCCCGGGCCACCCCTCCCCGTGCACGGAAGTGCGTCGCGTGAGGAAAAGCGCCTCCCCTGGGTGTTGGGAGGCAAACCGCCCTGCGATTCTCCGGTTCTCCGATTGAAACCCTTTCTCACAACCCTGATAAATAGGTATTTTATTACCGAGTACGTTATTTTCTTCATTTGACAGACGAGGGGACTGAGGCTCCAAGAAAGCGAGAATTCAGGCCCGATGTCGTCCCCAGTAAGCAGCAGCAGTGAGGTGGACTTTCGGCTCCATTTCCTGTGGCTTGTGGTCACAAGGTACTTCCATCACTGAGCTACACCCCCAGCCCATGTGACTATTTTAAATTCAAACATGAAAAAAATTCAAACATAAGACCCCAGGACAAGAATATTAAAGAAAAGTCCTTAAGAAGACAAAAGATACAAAAGATACAGATGAAATTAACTGACCATACTTGAATACTTTCCCCCCCAAAAAAACAGGAAGCGTTTACATGCTAATATTTCACCTTGACGCCAAAGATCTAAGAATCATGAGTATTTAGAATTACTCTGTGCCAGGCACAGTGTAAGGCCCAGTAAGTCACAGACCTCATCAGACTGTAAAAAGTCTACAGGAAGATAGATGTAAACATAATCCTGTCTCCCTTCTCATAGTGCTTATTACATATTATCAGGTACACTGGAAACATCATGAGGTAGGTAATGGTATCTTGAAAGACTTCAAAAATAACATGGCTAGTGAAGTGGCACATGACTATTATCCCAGCAACTCAGGAGGCTGAGGCAGGAGGATTGCAAGTTAAAAACCAGCCTGGGCAGTTTACCAAGAACTTGTCTCAAAAAAAATGTTTTTAAAGGGATGGGAATTTAGCTCACCCCTGGGTTCAATCCTTTGTACCACAAAAAATGAAAGAAGATGTATGAACTCAAATGTTGAGTCAGAGCTGGCCAGATACTAGGATGACCATGTGGAGAGACCTAGAGGTGTGCTAAAGACTCCTTCTAGGGGAAGGGAAGCAACAAGCTGCTTTTTGGCTTCAGCGCCACCCTTATGAAAGATCTTTAGTATGTATAGTCACTGTGATCCATCACAAGACCAAAAAGGAAGATTTAAACTCACTGGGCTGGAGTTGTGTTTCAGTGGTAGAGCATTTGCCTGGCATGTGTGAAGCTCTGGGTTCGATCCCCAACACCACATATAAATAAATAAAATAAAAGATCCATTTACAACTAAAAAATATTTTTTTTAATTTAAACTCACATTTGATTAACTGTCATGTACTATGAATTCATTTTTTAAGTAAATTCTATAATTATCTTCTGTATGATATAATTATGTGGCATTATGTTTTATATGTATTAAAAACATTAATTGGCCAGGTATGGTGGCACACATCTGTAATCCCAGTGGCTGGGAGGCTGAGGTAAGAGGATCAAAAGTTCAAAGCCAGCCTTAGCAAAAATGAAGTGCTAAATAACTTAGTGAGACCCTGGCTCAGTGGTCAAGTGCTCCTGAGTTCAATCCCTGGTGCCCAAAAATAAATAAATAAAATAAAGACAGTACTCTACACTGGAATTACTATTTTTCAGCAAGAAGGAAGGTAGCACAGATAACAATCCCTGTGTCGACTATTATCTTTATTTTACATTTAAAAAAAAAAAGTATGCCTGTTGTACCTTCCTGCATACAGAAAAAAAAAAATCAATGCAGTACTTTTTTGTGCTGTGCCCAATTTGTTACCCAGCCTCTCCTATAATCTTTCCAGTGTTGGGAAATTATTGCTTCATAAGGCAGTGCATTTTACTTTGATCTATGAGCTCCAGTTATTACACAGTATGATAGTGACATAAGAATCAGCAGACCAATGTTTGAAATCCACTTCTCCATTTTAGAAGCTGGGTAAACTTGGAGAAGTTAATAACTCCTTCAAGCCTCAGATTCCTCATATAAGAAATGGGATAACAACAACTACCTAATATGATGGGAATAATAACTAAAGGAAATTATTATGTGGAAAACTTAGGCCAATCATTCTTGACCTTTGTTTCATATTAAATTCAAGCAAGCTTTTTTAAATTTTTGTTTTATTTATCTATCTATTTATTTTGTAACTCTGGATTGAACCCGGGATGCTTAACCATTAAGCCACACCGCCAGCCCTTTTTACTTTTGTTTTTTTACTTTGAGACAGAATCTCACTAAGTTGCTTAAGGCCTCACTGAGTTGCTGAGGCCAGCTTTGAACTTGTGATCCTCCTCGGTCAGCCTCCCCAGTTGCTGGGATTATAGGTATGTGCCACCGTGTCTGGTATGGCAAGCTTTTTTAAAATAGACTTTATTTTTTAGAGCAGTTTCAAGTTCACGTAAATTGAACAGAAAGTACAGGGATTTTCCATATGCATCCTGCCTTCTCACATGCATAGCCTTTGTTACAACCAACAATGAACCAACATTGATATATCACTCTCACTCAGAATCCAGGGTATACATTAGGATTCACACTTGGTGTTGTACACGCTGCAGAGTACGATAAAAGTCATGACATGTATCCACTTTATAGTATATGCAATAGTCTCATTCTCCTGTTTGTCTCTCTTTCTCTGTAATCCACTTAGTCAAAAATTAGTCAAACACTAATTTTCTTTCTCTCTCCCTTTAGTTTTGCCTTTTTCACAGTGTCATACAGTTGGAATCATACAATATAGATCCTTTTCAGATTGGCTCTTTCATCTAGCAGTATACATTTAAGGTTCCTCCATGTCTTTTTATGGCTTGGTAGTTTATTTCTGTTGTTGTTGTTGATATGCCTTTATTTATTTATTTATTCATTTATTTATATGTGGTGCTAAGAATCAAAAGCAGTGCCTCACACATGCTAGGAAAGTGCTCTCCACTGAGCTACCACCCCAGCCCAGTTTATTTCTTTTTTAGTGTTAAATATTCCATAAGTTTAGTGTTAAATATTCCATTGTTTGAACATACCAATTTATTTATCTATTTATTTACTGAAGGACATCTTGGTTGCTTGAAAGTTTTTGTTTTTATTTTTGTTTTGTTTAGTTTTGGTCCTGGGAGTTGAACCTAGGGCTTTGTGAGTGCTAAGCAAAGGTTCTACCACAGAGTCCTCTCCTTCCACGTTTTTTGTTTGTTTGTTTTGCGGTTTTTAAATGGTTGGTTGGTTGGTTGGTTGGTTGGTTGGTTTTTGTTTTGGTACTGGGGATTGAACCCAGGAACATTCTTCTACTGGGCTACTTTCCCAGCCCCTTTAAAAATATTTGTTTTTAATTCTGAGACAGGATCTCACTAAGTTGTCCAGACAACTTGTGATCCTTCTGCCTCAGTCTCCCAAATTGCTGGGAATAAAGGCAAGCAACACCACACCTGGCCTAAGTTTTAACAATTATGAATAAAGCAGCTATAAACATCTGCGTGCTGATGTTCACATCTGTATGCTGGTGTTTACATCTGTGTGCTGGTGTTTATTCTTTTGGAAAAATGCCAAGGAGGGTGTTTGCTTGATCATTTGGTAAAGTATGTTTAGTTTTGTAAGATACTGCCAAATTGTCTTCCAAAGTGGTTCTCCCGTTTTGCATTCCCACCAGCAAGGAATGAGACATTCCTTTTGCTCCACATCCTTGCCAGCATTTGGTATTGTCAGTGTTTTGGATTTTCACCATTCTAGTAGAGATTTAGTGATATCTCATTGTTTTAATTTGCAGTTCATTAGTAGCATATGATGTTAAGCATGTTTCATATACTTATTTGCCATCTGTGTATCTTTGGTGAGATGTCTGTTCAGGTCCTTTGTCATTGTTTAAACAAGATGTTTTTGGTACTAGGAATTGAACCCAGGGGCACTTTACCACTAAGCCACATCTCCAGTCCTTTTTGTTTTTTCTTTTGATATAAAGTCTTGCTAAGTTGCCAAGACTAACCTCAAATTTGTGATACTCCTGATTTAGCCTTTCTGGTGGCTAGAATTATAGGTGTGCACCATCATGCCCAGCTGTTTATGGTTATTTTAAAATATGTTTTGTATCTAATTGCAAAAAAAAAAATGAGTTCACTTGAGGATTTTTCATCCTTGGTTTGAACATTGAAATCCATAGACAATTTTTAAAAATACTAAAGATTCTAGCGAGGCATGGTGTCACACACTATGGGCAGAGGATACTGGGGATCAAACCCACAGGTATTCTGCCACTGAGCCATATTCATAAATCTTTTCTTAATTGTTTCAAATTTTGAGACAGGCTGGTCTTGAATTTGTAATCCTCCTGCCTCAGTCTCCCAAGTAGCTGGGATTATAGGTACGTGCCACTATGCCCAGCAATATTTAAGATTTTTTGGCAGGTGGGTACCAGGGATTGAACTCAGGGGCTCTTGACCACTGAATCAC